CACATGGTAGGATTTCCTTCTTTTTTATGGCTGAGCGATATTCCATTGTGTATACATACATATTCTTTATCCATTTATCTCTTGCTGGATACTTAGATTGTTTCCATATCTTGGATGTTTTGAATAATTCTGCAGGGACCGTTGAGGTACATGTATCTCTCTGAGAGACTGATTTCATTTTCTTTGGATATACATTTAGAGGTACAATTCCTGAGTCATATGGTACTTATATTTTTATTTTTAATTCTATAATATTTTCCACAATGGCTATGCTAATTTACATTTCCATCAGCAGTGTACAAGTGTTCTCCCTTCTTCACATCCTTTCCAGCACTTGTTTACTGTTACCTTTTTGATAGTAGCCATCCTAACAGTCGTGAGGTTTTATCTCTCTTTTTTTAAAATTTTTTTGAGACAGGCCTTGCTCTGTTGCTCAGGCTGGAGTGCAGTGGTGTGATCCTGGCTCACTGTAGCCCCAGACTCCCTGGGCTCAAGGGATCCTACTGTCTCGGCCTCCTGAGTTGCTAGGTTTGTGCTACCATGCCCAGCTAATTTTTAAATTTTTAGTGGACATGGGTCTCACTGTGTTGTCTGGGTTGGTTATAAATTCCTGGCCTCAAGCAATCCTCCTGCCTCATTGTGGTTTTGATTTGAATTTCCCTCATGATAAGAGATGTTGAGCTTCTGTTTATATACTTGTTGGCTCTTTGTGTGACTTCTTTAGCAAGTGTCTATTCAGGTCATTTGTCCAGTTTTTATTTGTTTGCTTTTTTTTTTTTTTTGCTGTTGAGTTGTAAGAGTTCCTTATATATTTTGGATATTAATCTCTCTTATCACATAGTGAAAGTTTATAAATATTTTCTCCTGTAGGTTGCCTTTTCATTTTGTTGATGGTTTCCTTTCCCATATAGAAGCCTCTTAGTTTGATGTAGCCCTCCTGTTTATTTCTGCTTTTGTTGCCATTTCTTTTGGTGTCATATTCAAAAAGTAATTGCCAAGACCATTGTCAAGGAGCTTTTCCTTATTTTTTTTTCTAGGAGTTTTATGCTTTCTCTTGTCTTCTCTTCTGTTGTCTTCTCTCTCTCTTCTCTCCCCTGCCCCTCCCCCTGCCCCTGCCCCTCCCCCTTCCCCCTGCCCCTGCCCCTCCCCCTGCCCCTCTGTTCTCTGGTGGAGTCTCGCTCTGTCCCACCCAGGCACAAGTGCAATAGTTTGATCTTGGCTCACTGCAACCTCCAACTCCCAGTTTCAAGCAGTTGTCCTTCCTCAGCCTCCCGAGTAGCTGGGATTACAGGAGTGTGCCACCACACCCCGCTAATTTTTGTATTTTTAGTAGAGACGGGGTTTCACCATGTTGGCCAGGCTGGTCTGGAGCTCCTGACCCCAGGTGATCTGACCACCTCAGCCTCCCAAAGTGCTGGGATTACAGGCGTAAGCTACCATGCCTGGCCTGAGTTTTATGCTTTCAAGTCGTACATTTCAGTTTTTAATCAATTTCCAGTTAATTTTTGTGTATGGTGTAAGACAAGGGTACAATTTTCTTTTGCATGTGGATATCCAGTTTTTCCAATGCCATTTATTAAAGACTATCCTTTCCTCAGTGTGTTGTTGTATTGTTTTGTTTTGTTTTTGAGACAGGATCTCACCCTGTTGCCCAGGCTGGAGTGCAGTGACGCCATCTCCACTCACTGCAGCCTCTGCCTCTTGGGTTCAAGTGATTCTCCCACCTCAGCCTCCTGAGTAGCTGGAACTACAGATGTGCACGCCCGCCTAATTTTTGTATTTTTTGGTAGAGATGGGGTTTCACCATGTTGGCCAGGCTGCCGCAGGGTGTGTTTTTGGTGCCCTTGTCAAAAGATTAGTTGACCATATATGCGTGGGTTTATTTCTGTGCTCTCTTTTCCCTTGGTGTATCTTTATGTCTCTACCATACTGTTTTGATTACTATAGCTTTGTACTACAGTTTTAAATCAGGAAATGTGATGCCTTTTAAGCTTTGTTCTTTCTCAAGATTGCTTTACCTATTTGGGGTTTTTTGTGGTTCTGTATGAATTTTTAAAAAATTTTTTCTATTTTTGTGGAAAATGTCATTGGAATTTTGATAGAGATTGCATTAAATCTGTAGATCTCTTTAGTTAGTATGGACATTTTAACAATATTCTTGCAATCCATGGACACAGATTTTTAACATTTATTTTTGTCTTCTCTAAATTTTTTTCATCAGTATCTCACAGTTTGAGTGTACAGACCTTTCACCTCCTTTGTTAAATTTATTCCTAAGTATATGATTCTTTTTGATGCTATTGTAAATAGGATTGTTTTCTTAACTTTTTTTGGGACAGTTAGTGAATAGAAATGCAACTGATTTTAGTATGTTGATTATGTATTCTACAAGTTTATTATATTTGTTTATTCTTTTCTTGGGAATAAATTCCACTTGATTATAGTGTATGATTTGTTTGTATTTCTTAAATAGGAGTCATAACAACAAGAACTAACATTTATTGAGCACCTTATTATGTGTCTGGTACTGATGCAGGTGGCTTTACATGTATTTATTTATTCCTATATCAAATAATTCTTGATTGCCTATTCTCATATTATATGTATATATGTATGTGTATATGAATGAATTTCTGGCTTGCTCAATATTGATACCTGTTCTGTTTTCTCTCAGCAGTTGTGGAGGTCATTATTTCATATATTCCAGGTAGCACTCTGCTGTGAGTGACAGGACATTCTGTATTGTGGGATATAATGAGATACACATGCTATTTTAGGGTATGAAGATGTGTTTTCAGAGTATATAATGTTGGGGAAAAAAAAAGAACTAGTTAACCTGAATATATTAGAGAGTTGATCTTTGTAGCCATGAAAGTCATCTGGGACTCTGCCTAGTTTTTGTTGTTGTTATTTTGTTTCTGGTTTGTTGTTGTTGTTGTTGTTGTTGTTGTTTGAGACGGAATTTCCCACTTGTTGCCCAGGCTGCCCAGGCTGGAGTGCAGTGGCACACTGTGGGCTCACTGCAACCTCTGCCTCCCGAATTCAAGTGATTCTCCTGCTTCAGCCTCCCAAGTAGCTGCGATTATACAAGCATGTGGCACCATACCTGGCTACTTTTTGTATTTTTAGTAGAGATGGAGTTTTACCACGTTGGCCAGGCTGGTCTCAAACTCCTGACCTCAAGTGATCCGCCTTGGCTTCCCAAAGTGCTGAGTTTACAGGCATGAGCCACCATACCTGACCTATCCTCCTTAGTTTTATTAGGCTCTATTTGTTCTTCTACCTCCTTTTGAGAGTCTATCACACCCATCAACAAATTAGCACTTCCCTTAAAAGAGAGGTGTTACAGTTAGTGGCACTTTGGGAACTTAAATATTTCACCTTACTGTGTGGAGAGTTTAGACACTGACCCAGCTTCTGCAGTTTGACAATTTATCTGCCAACCTCCTACCATCCATTCCTGCCCTCATCCTTTACCACCCTGCCTTTTGAACTTTGCTGGGACTCTGTTAAAAAGGGAAGATTCATTTACTGTCTATTACTGATTGTCCTTTTTGCTTATGTTGGATTATAAGACTGCATTTTGACTTTTTTTCTTAACATAATTCTATTTGTTTAAACTTCCAGGAACTCTTCATCTTTGCTTATGACCTTTCTATGTGTTTCATAACTGCTGTGGACGTTTTCTTTTCTTTTCTCTCTTTTTTTTTTGGGGTAACTCGGGGTTTTTCCATGCTGGTCTCAAACTCCAAACCTCGGGTGATCCCCCCCACCTCAGCCTCTCAAAGTGCTGGGATTACAGGCATGAGCCACTATGCCCGGCCAGACTTTTTGTAATATTTATGTTCTGTCCTTTCAGTGGGATTTCGGTGGGGAGAATATGTCATTGTTTGGACTTTGCCATCAAGAACTATAAGTTGTAGTTTGTTTAGTGTTACAGAATACTTTAGAATTGTTGAATGACACTGAATTTAATTAAACAATATAGGGTTTGTAATTTAATATACAGGGATTCTGCCACTAAATATTTGAGTTATCTCAAGCAGTTTTCTTAATTATTCAAAGCATTGATATCCTTATCTGCAAGATGAGGAATAAGTAAAATAAATAAATGAATAATCATATCTGTCTCATAAGTTTGTCACAAGCATTATTTGAAATAATACATGTAAAGCTCTTAGTATAGGACCTGGTAATAACTCAGTAAATGTTATTTGTTAAGTAGTGACTATTCAAAATAGTTACTTCAAAAACAAATCAAGCCAGGTGCAGTGGCTCACGCCTATAACCCCAGCACTTTGGGAGGCCGAGGTGGGTGGATCACTTGAGGTCAGGAGTTTGAGACCGGCCTGGCCAACATGGTAAAACCCCATCTCTACTAAAAATAAAAAAATTAGCTAGGGATGGTGGTGGGCACCTGTAATTCTAGCTACTTGGGAGGCTGAGTCAGGAGAATCATTTGAACCTGGGAGGCAGAGGTTGCAGTGAGCCGAGATCACACCACTGCACTCTAGCCTGGGTAACAGAGTAAGACTTTTGTCTAAAAAACAAAAACAAAAACCAAATCAAGTAGGTTTTTCAGAAAGCCTTTTCGAAGGGAGATTAGATTAGTAAACAAATGCTTAGTAGCGGGCTAAATGATAGCAAAACTCTTTTGAATCAAAACTGACTCAGATTTAAAAAAACCTCTTAACATATTCTTTCCTTTCAGTGTAGTTAGGACTAAGAGTTATGTAGCAGTAGTAAACCTTTCCTGTGGTATGTTTCTGTTAGGATTGGTTTGATAGCTGTATTATAATTATATTTTTTGTAGAATTAATTTATTAATGTATTGATTGATTAACCTAAGTCCTTTAGTAGTTTTCTTAAATTTTTCCTAATTTTTTTTCTATGCTAATTATAATGTTAACATGCTCATTCGGGGTATGTTGCCATTTGTATCCTGACAGTGTATTAATGCTTATATTTGTAAGAGTAAAATATTTTATTTCTTATTACAGCGGAATGGCCAAAGACTATGACAGGTCTTCCCAGCACATCAGGGACAACTGCCAGTGTGGTCATCATACGGGGCATGAAGATGTATGTAGCTCACGTAGGTGACTCAGGGGTGGTTCTTGGAATTCAGGATGACCCAAAGGATGATTTTGTCAGAGCTGTGGAGGTGACACAGGACCATAAGCCAGAACTTCCCAAGGAAAGAGAACGAATCGAAGGACTTGGTGGGAGGTAACATTCTGTTGTTTTCTCTTTCCTCTCTGAGTTCTATTTAGTCCTTTTATGCTTTGCTAATGAAATTGACCTACTACTCTCCTTTTTACTGAAGTTACTTTCTTAGTGTTACAGGTTTTTTAGTTTGTCTGATGTAGTACCCATGTATGTGCATTCATATTTTTCTCATTATTGTGAATTGACTGTTCATTTCTGGTAATGACTCAAAGGAAATAATATTTCAGTGGGCCTCAAGGAACAATACAATACAAGGCTTTATTGAAACCTTTCACATAAATACTGATCAACATTATCTTCAGAATCTAGACAGAGCAGCTCTTGGAGTTCCAGAGTAGAATACTTTGAATCTGGCTGGGGTAAAAAGTTAAGTTAGAATTAACCTTCAGCTTTTTTCATTGATTTCAGATTTACAGCAGACCTTTCCAATTATTATTTTCTTTGTTTGGACTTAGTGTTTCAATGTGTAGGTAATTTGTAAACTAGGAACTGAAATTGATTTCAGTATTATATTTTTACGATTAAAACTTAAAGATTATTCTAAAAATCAAGAGAGTGAATAACATGAGAAGATTTTAAAATTATCTCAATACTAATGGTTAAAAATTGAGGGTATGAAGCAAGTTGAATAGAATCCAGTGATTTCTAAATAATCATTCTAAATAAAACCTTCCCGTAATATCATTACTTGCCTCCTCTTTTTTGCTTTTATTAAATCAAAATTGGCCTTTTGCAGAGAAATAACAAACTAAGGAAAATAATTAGCATCCTTAAACTATAAGGAGTTCAACAAATTAATAAAGTACTAAAGTGCATGGCACCCCTGGATAGGAGAGAAAATTTTAACAACACAAAAAATGCAAAACAGTATTAAACATTTGGAGGAAAAAAAGTTAAACATTAAAATGAAACTATTTCCTGTTATTAGATTAATAAAGATTAAAAAAACCAAAGAGATTCCTTCAGTGTTTTTGTTGAAATGGTTACACTGTTGGTAGGATTTATAAATTGGTACTCGCTATATAGAAAATAAATATACCATTAGCTTTAAATGTTTATTAACAGTAATTTCAGGAATCTATTCTAAAGAAGAAATCTGAATTGTGGACAAAAATATCTGAATAGAGTTATTGATTGCATTATTTTTAATGACTGTAAAAGGCTGGAAGTAACTTGAAGGCCCAACAGCTAGAGAATGGTTAAGTATATTTAGCAAACATATTCATAATACTGAATGTCATACAGCCATTAAAAATGACAGTTATAGATAAGTTTATAAAACTCCTGGTGTTTTAAAATTTTTCCAAGTAAAGATAGACAGAGTAATATAAACTCCCATGTATATGGGGAATGTTTAATGATACAGAAAAATGCTTATGGTCACAAAAAAAGCAGGATATAAAATTACATTTCTAGTATTACCTCAGCAATGCAGAGACATGAGAATAAGATGGGAATATTCTAAATTTTTATAAATGAGTGATGAGATTTTATACACACATACACGTTTATTTTAATTTTTTCAATGGTAACATTCATTTGGTTTAAATTCAGGTAGCATAAAAATGGGATATGCTATGGAAGATCTTTCAGCTACTGCTGTCCCAAAGGCCACCTGGTTTCCTCCACTTGATAGGCAACCAGTATGGCTGTGTGTCCTTTCAAAAAAGAGATATTCATATACAATCAAATATATTATGGAGCTGTACTATGTACAGATGTATCATCATTTATTTAATCAGTCTCCTCTTGAAGGATTTTTATTTCTAATTTTTTTGTTATTGCAAACACTGCTGTGAAATGAAAAATCTGCACGTGTGTTTTTATGCACTTGTTGGTTTATTTGTAGGATCATTTCTGAAAAGTGAAATTGCTTGGCCAAACAGGTGTGTGTTTTGAATATTGATAACTATTTGTCTCTATATGGATGTCCTGGACAACATATAGAACTTTCTGATCATATCCAATTTCAGGTTTAAAAAAGAAGTGTCTCAGTGATGTTGTTTTAAAAAAAATTTTTTTTTTTTCTTTTGGGATGGAGCTTCTCTCTTGTTACCCAGGCTGGAGTGCAATGGTGCGATCTCGGCTCACCGCAACCTCGCCTCCTGGGTTCAGGCAATTCTTCTGCCTCAGCCTCCTGAGTAGCTGGGATTACAGGCACGCACCACCATGCCCAGCTAATTTTTTGTATTTTTAAGTACAGACGGGGTTTCACTGTGTTGACCAGGATGGTCTCGATCTCTTGACCTCGTGATCCACCCGCCTCGGCCTCCCAATGTGCTGGGATTACAGGCTTGAGCCACCGCGCCTGGCCAAAAAAATTTTAAGAAATAGAGATGAGATCTTGCCGTGTTGCCCAGGCTGGTCTTGAACTCCTGGGCTCAAGCAATCCTCCACCGTGACCTTCCAAATTGTTGGGATTACAGATGTGAACCACTGTGCCTGGCCTCAATAATGTTTTAATTTGAATTTATCTTATGAGAAATGTTGAATCTGTCTATGTATTTAAGTGCCATTTATATTTTCTTTTCTCTGTATTTGTTTTTACATTCAGTGTTCATTTTGGGGTATTGTTAGACTTTCTTTTTCCACATTAATGTGTAAGGGCTATCTATAGATTAAAGAAATTAGTCTAATGTATGTGATGTGAATTTTAGGTATTGTTTCCACAGTTTGTCTTTTGATTATCCTCCTGGAACTTTTTCTGTGTGGAAGTTTCTTTTAATGTAGTTAAATTTATTACTTTCTTTTACGACATTTTGGATTTTGTGCCATACAGACAGTGAAGCTTTTTAATAAAGTTTTCTGTATTTTCTTTTAGTACGACAGTTAGGAATGTTTTTGGTCTTAGAAACCCTGTTTGTTCATTCTGTTTGTTTATTTGTTTGTTTGTTTGTTTGTTTTTGAGACATGGCCTCACTCTGTTGTCCAGGCTGCAGTGCTGTAGCACAATCATGGCTCACTGCAACCTCAAGTGTTCTTCCCACGTCAGCCTCTTGAAAGCTGGGACTACAGGTGCACCTGTGCAACCATGCCAGCTAATTTTCTTTTTCTTTAAAAAAAAAAAAAATTGCCTCTTTTGGAGAGAAAAGGTTTTACTATGTTGCCTAGGCTGGTCTCAAACTGGGCTCAAGTAGTCCTCTTGCCTTGTTAATTCATCTAAAAATAGCAATTATGAACCCATTATGTGTTTTGCCAAAACATTTAGTGAGAAGATCAGCATTGTTTTGGTTGTGTAAGTTTCTTTCTTTTTTTTTTTTTTTTTATTTGAGATGGAATTTTGCTCTTGTTGCCCAGGCTCCCCAGGCTGGAGTGCAATGGCATGATCTTGACTCACTGCAACTTCTACCTCCCCGGTTCAAGCGATTATCCTGCCTCAGCCTCCCAAGTAGCTGAGATCACAGGCTTGTGTTACCACACCCGGCTAATTTTTTTGTAGTATTTACTAGTAGAGGCAGAGTTTCTCATGTACACTCTGCCCTCCCCACTAACTTCTAGGCTTCCCCACTGTCAACATCCTTTTCCAGAGTGTTTGTTATTAGTGAACTTATAGTGACATATCATTATCACCCAACGTCCTTAGTTTACATTAGGGTTCACTCTGGGTGTTGTACATTTTATGAGTTTTGACATAAATGTCATGACATGTAGCCACCATTATAGTATCATGCCGATTACTTTCATCACCCTAAGAATCCTCTGTACTTTGCCTATTCATCCCTCCCCACTTACTCCTGGCAGCCACTGATCTTTTTACTGCCTTCATAATTTGCATTTTCCAGAATGTCATATAGTTGGAATCATATAGTATGTAGTCCCTATGGATGACTTTTTAATATATGCATTTATCATTTGTAATATACTGGTTCACTGAGTTATGTAGATCTTGCAAATATTGACACTTTTTATTATACTGTATCATATCCAGTCATGCAGCCTCTCAAAAAACTCCATTGTATGCATGTGATCTTAGTAGTATTATGGAATAAAAAACTGACCTTGGGGACACCCTGAAAAAGTCTTCAGCAACCTGCTGGGGCCCCTAAACCACATTTTGAGAACAGCTTTCTCAGTACTGTTACGGTTTCATCATCTTTTATATTTTAATCTTCAATCCTTCTGGAATTTTAAGATCTTAAGTTATGTAGTAAATATAAAAGTTAACTTTTTTTCTAGATAGCTATTAGTAGCCACTTGAATAATTATACATCTTTTCATTACAGAGTAGCAGGCTGACCAGGCTTAAGACCCGTCTTCAGTGGGAAGATCACGTTGAATTTACCCTCTGCTTGTATTTCTCTGGTTAAGATAAATGTGGATATCACCTCTATTATAAGACAGCATTGCTTATTTTAGAATGATCCTTCAACAGAATTGCATCTTGGTAGGGAAGTCTTTGAATGGACTATACATTTCTATTCAGAAGCATAGACCTTGGCTTCCTTATATGCGTGCAGTTTGTCTTGTATAGGGACCAAGAAACTACAGTCATGTGCTGTTTATTACATAGATTTCTGTGACACCTGAAGCTTACCTAAGTTAGACCCTGTCATCTTGCTTACAACTGAACCATCACTTGGGAGATTAAAAAATGGCTTCTGGTTGTCTGAATTGCTGCTGAAGACAACATCCTTGAAGCCGATATGGTGGCATACTGTATTTCCTGCCGAATATCCTGCAAAGTTAGATGAACCTCCTTTCAGGCTATAGTTTATTTGATCCTGTGATTGTGAAGGTCAGAATATATCTGAGACCTCTCTGCTGGTTGTCATGCTAAGTGGGCTTTGCAAATTATAAACAGAATTCCTCCATATATTTGGGTCTTTTCTGGGCTATTTTTTTCCCTGCTTATTTACCAGTATTATAATTTTTAAAACTGGCCGGGCGCGGTGGCTCAAGCCTGTAATCCCAGCACTTTGGGAGGCCGAGGCGGGTGGATCACAAGGTCAAGAGATCGAGACCATCCTGGTCAACATGGTGAAACCCCGTCTCTACTAAAAATACAAAACATTAGCTGGGCATGGTGGTGCGTGCCTGTAATCCCAGCTACTCGGGAGGCTGAGGCAGGAGAATTGCCTGAACCCAGGAGGTGGAGGTTGCAGTGAGCCGAGATCGCGCCATTGTACTCCAGCCTGGGTAACAAGAGCGAGACTCCGTCTCAGATTCAAGAAAAAAAAAAAACAACTGAGACTTTATTGTAATTTTTAATATTGATAGGCCTGATTCCTTTTCATTAATCTTTCTTTAAAAAATACTTTTCTTGGCCAGGCTCAGTGGCTCACACCTTTATAATCTCAGCATTTGGGGAGGCCGAGGCTGGTGGATCACAGTCAGGAGTTTAAGACTAGCCTGGCCAAGATGGTGAAATCCTGTCTCTACTAAAAATACAAAAATTATCTGGGTGGGTGTTGGGTGCCTATAATCCTAGCTACTCAGGAGGCTCAGGCAGAGAATTGCTTGAACCTGGGAGGCAGAGGTTGCAGTGAGCTGAGATTGCACCACTGCACTCCAGCCTGGGCGACAGAACAAGACTCCGTCTCAAAAAAAAACCTGTTATTGGGACCAGGCGTGGTGGCTCACGCCTGTAATCCCAGCACTTTGGGAGCCTGAGGCGGGCGATCACCTGAGATCAGTAGTTCTAGACTAGCCTGGCCAACATGGCGAAACCCCATCTCTACTAAAAATACAAAAAAAAAGTATCCAGGTGTGGTGGTGCATGCCTGTAATCCCAGCTATTCGGGAGGCTGACGCCGGAGAATCCCTTGAACCCGGGAGGTAGAGGTTGCAGTGAGATCATGCCACTGTACTCCAGCCTGGGCAACAAGAGTAAAAACTATGTCTCAGGAAAAAGAAAAGAAATAAAGTGGTTGGCTGCGATGGCTCATGCCTGTAATCCTAGCACTTTGGAAGCCTAGATGGGAAGATCACTTGAGGTTAGAAGTTTGAGACCAGCGTTGTCAACACAGCGACCTCCATCTCTATGTAAAAATATTTTTATAATTAAAAATAAATGAACAAAAAAGGAAGTAATTATTTTCTACAGAAGAAATTACTCTTTTGTGTTTAAAAATATATAATGACTATTTTTTATTGTTTTTTTAACTTGAATTTTAAAATTTTATTTGATTTTAATAACTTTTTTAGAAAGAGTTTTTTTGGCTTTATCACCAAAAATACCATCTGGACAGTTGGACAGATACTGTGCCATTTTGGAGCAGGTAACTTTTTGCAAAAATTGGGCTATTTTATTATAAGTTATTTCCTTGCTTCCCTCTGTCCCAGCCTGGGCAACAGGCCAGCATTATGTTTTTCCAGCCTTCTGTTGCTGCTCAGTCAGCTCTCTGCATGTCAGGCTGTTCCTTTTTACATGCCTTTTAATCATATAGGACAACAACATGGAGTGCAGTAAAAGCAGCATCTTTTATACCATTGCTTTGGTTTTTTGTTAATAGATTTAAAACTTCTATGTTTTAATCTGTATCATTATTTGTCTTTTTGTTTCTCAGAAACACAGATCATAATATCTTTGAATACTAAGTGTCAGCAGAGCTGTTTGTCCTAGTTATGTTGGAAGCAGCTACTGTAAATTAAGTACTGAGTCTTACCTTTTAGGGAGCAGGTTTAGGAAACAATAATAGAGCTTTAAGATGGTATTAGGGCAGAATGTCGGCCTCTTACCATAACTCTTATGTTTCATGGATTCTTGTGAATGGCAAATTTAGTTTTTACTCAGCTGTTGACTTTTGAGGATCATTGCTGAAGAAAGCTTAATATAATAAAATGAATACCTTTGATATTTTAACTCTTGTGATGATCAACATGTTGATTTCAGAACTTATTTAGACTAGTTCTTGGCTGAACATGGTGACCCATGCCTATAATCCCAGCACTTTAGGTTGCCCAGATGGGAGGACGGCTTGCACTCAGGAGCTTAAGACTAGCTTGGCAAGCATAGTGAGATCTGTTCTCTACAAAAAAAATTTAAAAATTAGCCACATGTGGTGGTGCATGCCTGTGGTCCCAGCTTTTTGAGAAACTGAGGTGGGAAGATCACTTGAGCCCTAGAAGTCAAGCTGTGGTGAGCCATGGTCACATTACTGCACTCCAGCCTGGGCAACAGAGCGAGACCCTGTCTCAAAACAAAACAAACAAAAACTAGTTCTCAAAAGGGATGGAAGGCCAGGCATGGTGGCTCATGCCAGTAATCTCAGCGCTTTGGGAGGCTGAGGCAGGCAGATCTCTTGAGGCCAGGAGCTCAAGACCAGCCTGGCCAACATGATTAAACCCTGTCTCTACTAAACATACAAAAATTAGCTGAGCATGATGGCAGACGCCTGTAATCCCAGCTACTCAGGAGGCTGAGGCAGGAGAATCGCTTGAACCCAGAAGGTGGAGGTTGAGGTAAGCCGAGATCGCACCATTGCACTCCAGCCAGGGCAACAAGAGCAAAACTTTGTCTCAAAAAAAACCCACCAACAACAAAAATTGTAAAAAGTTCTGCTGTGTTTCCCCCATCCTCAACAGAAACCCTCAGAACTCTATAACCTTTCCTTTATAATTGCTTATATCATGATTTAGTCCCTCTCCATTTGTTTATTTATCGAGATGGAATCTCACTCTGTCACCCAGGCTGGAGTGCAGTGGTTCAGTCTTGGCTCACTGCAGTCTCCACCTCCTGGGTTCAAACAGTTCTCTCTCTCCACTTAGGTAAGTTCTTCTGCCAACCCTTAATTGCTTGCTAATTAAGTCATTTTGCTTTTTTTTTTTGTTTGACATGGTAGTTAAACTCACATTTCTTCACATTTCATTCATTTGGTTGTACTGCCTATTCCAGTAATCTCAAAATTTTCCTCTCTGAACAGGAACTTAGCTTATGCATCTTCGTATCTGAAACACATAAGGCATTATTTTGTGATAACGTAGTCTTGTTTTATTAGTTTTAATATATTGAGCTACCTTAGTTGTTATATTTTAATCATTTAGATTATTTATGTGAACTCTATTTATTTTTAGTGTGATGAACAAGTCTGGAGTGAATCGTGTAGTCTGGAAACGACCTCGGCTCACTCACAATGGACCTGTTAGAAGGAGCACAGTTATTGACCAGATTCCTTTTCTGGCAGTAGCAAGAGCACTTGGTAAGTGGGACTTAATTTAATGAAATTATATTGAATTTTCTATAATATACAGTGACAAAATAAAAGAGGAGACTGAGAACTAAACCCTTACTTGGCGTATGGTGAGGATAGGCCTATCATGATATTCTGTTAAATGTTTTGGAACCTATTCGAGGCCATAGACGGTGACTCATGCTTATAATCCCAGCACTTTGGGAGGCTGAGGTGGGCAGATCATTCGAGGTCAGGAGATTGTGCTAGTGCACTCCAGCCTGGGTGACAGAACAAGACTCGTGGGTGTGTGTGTGTGTGTGTGTGTGTGTGTGTGTGTGTGTTTTAAGCCTAATTGAGGGGAAGGTTTAGGTGTCTATTTCACCAACAATTGCCCTTTGTTTATGAGTCACGTTCAATGTTTTGCTAGTTTCTATCTGTACTTAAAGAAGTATGTGCATTTCTAGGCTTAATGTTACTCTTGAAACTTTTTTTTTTTTTTTTTTTTTGAGATGGAGTCTCACTCTTGTTGCCCAGGATAGAGTACAGTGGCACAATCTTGGCTCACCACAACCTCCGCCTCTCGGGTTCAGGCGATTCTCCTGCCTCAGCCTCCCAAGTAGCTGGAATTACAGGTGTGCGCCACCAAGCCAAGCTAATTTTTTTATTTTTAGTAGAGATGGGGTTTCTCCATGTTGGTCAGGCTGGTCTCGAACTCCTGACCTCAGATGATTCTCCAGCCTCAGCCTCCCAAAGTGCCAGGATTACAGGCATGAGCTACCATGCCCGGCTTCCTTTAAACTATTTTTAAGTATCCTATCCTACTTTAGCCCTTAATATTCCTCCTGAGAGCCTTCAAAACCTCTTTTTTTTCTTTAATTAGCAAAGTGAAATAACTATGAAAAAAAAGTTATATTTCTGGTCTACCTGGTTTTAGAAAGAAGGCTAGAGAATTATACCTATTAAGATATCTAGCCGGGCGCGGTGGCTCACGCCTGTAATCCCAGCACTTTGGGAGGCCGAGGCGGGTGGATCACGAGGTCAAGAGATCGAGACCATCCTGGTCAACATGGTGAAACCCCGTCTCTACTAAAAATACAAAACATTAGCTGGGCATG